TAAGAAAATTGAATAATTCGCCCCCAAACCGATAAGCCGTTAATAAAAAAATTTCAATCCGTTTTCCGTCCGTTAAGCCATTACCAGTAAGCCATTAAGTTTCGGTTCGGTTCGGTTTTTGGTTTCGGATCGGTTTTGAACACCCCTAAGTAGATAGATTAAATATGATATAAAATTTATCAGTACGGTAGGAAAATCCCAGACAAGCAATAATGTGTGTAAAGCCGAAAGATCATTTTTTAAATACTTTAAAAAAAGGAATAATATTTTAAGATCAGCCCTTTATGGGCCATTTCTGTCAATCACTAAGGGATCGTTTGGTAGGATGTATAAGAATAATGCTGAATATGGTGTATTAGTAATGTTGGTATTAGTTATGCTTGCATTAGTTATGCTGGTATTAGTTATGCTTGCATTAGTTATGCTGGTATTAGTTATGCTGACATATTTCTTATCCATTATTTGGTTTGATGTATTTAAGCATTGCACAATTTCTAAAAGAATCGCCTGTTTATAAAAATGCCCTCAAAACCAGTTCATCACTCTAACTTTTTAAAAGAAACATATGTTGAGAAATATTTTTATTTATTTGCTAGAGGAAATATGCTAAGTAGTTATTTATTTACTAGAGATATAATTTTATTCTCTATTTGGATTATTTTAAACTTGCATATTTTAATCAAGCATAAATTTTGAAGGATAATTTTGTCTTTAGCTAAGTTAATGCTTGCATTAAAACCCATTGCATTGCTAATACCCATGGTTTTCTATGCATTAGTTATGCATAAGATAATACCAAATAGGATGTATAACTAATGCTTGCATAACTAATGTATAGATTTAAAATGTCAACCAAACAAGGTATTATTAATACACAAAGCTAATATATGCATTATTTTATCTAATGCATCTTACCAAACGACCCCTAAGAAAGAAAAAAAAACATTTTGACACAGCAAAGAGAAAAAAAAACATGGGGTTTTGTTTCATATTTAAGAGCTCTTTCTACAATTTTTTTAATCACATTACTGAATAATGAATTAACGTCGTATAGACATTTTGGCTATATTTTCCACTTCCAGGTCGTGTCTTCGAACTTGGCTATAACTTGTGGTTTTTTTTTCTCTTTTTTTAACTTTGCTATTAACACCCTTCTCTCAATTTTCCAGTTCGGTCAAATGACAAGTTACTCGCGGCTCACTTTTCCTGCTCTCACGCAGACCGTCGCAACCGGGTGAGGTTTGTTCGTTTCTATTAATTGGAGGTTCCGTCCAGGTTTTCCTCGTTTGTTTGCTCAATAATTGTCTATTCACAATTTGAAGGCGACTGGTCTGTTGGTTTTGCTGATTGTTAGCAAATGAACTCCAAATTGAAATCTAAGTTGATTAGTTCTTAAAATTTCATCTAGAAACAAAGAGTTTTTATGTTTTGATAGCTTAAATCCTGAATCCAATATCGGACGTAATGGTATTACCAAGAAGTTGGAGGACAGGTACTATGTAAATGTAATGACGAAGAAATCTAGTTATATGTGCTTCTGATTACAACCTTTATGCTCCTTATTATTCTTTGATTAAGAGATTCGATCTGCTAGATGTTTCATTTATATTTGTTATTTGTCTATTAACTTGTATCGGATAAACCGTGACAGCTTAGAAACAACATAAAGCTGAAGAATACTGGAGATTAAAATAAAGGTAAATGGAGTTGATTCTAAAAAGAATTTCGTACTTCTTGAAAAGGGGAACATTAATAAGTGGAAGAAGGAACGTTAAAAGAATCAAACACACCACACACAATAAATAATTGAAACTTCGTCATTAGTCCTCTTCTTGGAATACAAAATTCTACTTGATTTCCTCTTTGTTTTTCCTAACACTAATAAATATTTTTTCCAACTGTAGTAGTTTCTTCTTTAAAAGAAGCTGGTGCGGAGTTAGGGTTGAGTTGTATGGTTTTATCTCTGCATAAATCGGAACATGGCTCGAAAGTTTTCTCGCCTTTGTACAGTTGCCTGCATGTACAGATCAATTACTGGAGCCAAATTGCAACCACCAATCTTGCCCTGCACATTCCAGTCTCGTCCACACACTATACTCCATGGCTATTGTTATCCTATGCTCCAACTTCAAGGTCAATTCTCTGCACTCCTCTCAACCTAATTGGTTATGTAATAAAGCTTGAAGCTTATTTTCCCTCTCTGTGATGTAATATTGGTGTTTATAAAGCACCGTTTGGGCATTCAGGAGTATTATAAGTGATGGAGATAAGGCTTCTTTTCATGTGGCCAATCTGTTTGTGAGAGAGTTCTCAATGAAATATTGGAAGCCCTAGACTAAGTTGCTCCGACATGGCAGTTTAGGTGCCGCACCCGTGTCTACACGACACCAGTATGAGTGTGGGTATGGGATCTGGTCAAACAATTTTGGGTACTTTGACCATGATGGACGGAAAAATTCGAGACAAGATACAATTTGATTCCCGAAATCAGAACCAATACTAGGGTAAATTGGAAGAAAATAGCATACCTTATCAAGGAAACCAGTCCTTTACTTATCTATAACTTGAGAATAAAAAAGAAATCCACACTTTACTAGTTATACTTAAGTATTCCACAAAAGTATTCATAATTTAGAGATATTTTTATTTTTTGAATTATTTTTAGCCGGATCCCGCACCCGTATCCGTACTAGGATCCGTATGCTGGAATCTTACAGTTTACATCTTGAAGTATCCGACATCTAGATCCGCACCCACACCCGCACTCGTATCCGAGCAACTTAGGCCCTAGACTGCTCTAAGGCAGTCCAAGGAGGACACAATAAATTTCTAGAATTTTTGTGGTGGATCAGATTCAGAAAAGGGATTTCTCAGTTGTAGGAGTAACATTTAAGGACTTCTTGAGTTTTGGACTGACTGACTTCTAAAGTTTCTGCTTCAATGTTATGCATCTCCAATCAGTGAATGAATTTCAACCTAGCATGGAATCGTCTAGTGAATAATTTTGAACACATCTATGCTTCTACTTCAATATTTTGCCTCTTAAGTGCTACTACTTGTGTCTCTGCTGTTTAACCATGACCATGACCCTGGAGAAGGATTTGGTTTTTGCATGTCAGCATTGTTCTTAACTGCTTTCTTATTCCATGAGTCTGCTACATGTATGTTTATGTGATTGTCACTTTTCATAGACTTCTTCATGGCTATTCCTACTTCTGCTTTCAAGAGAAAATTAATTCACATTCCTTTCTTGTGACGGGTTTTTGCATATATTCTATCAATTGATTGTTGCTGATCATAATCATGATCAGTTGAAAAGGACCCTTAAGTTCTAACATCTCTATAGTTATCTAACAATCTATAGGGCTGTGTTTCCTTTATTGTTTATCTGGCAAACCATACTTCACCTGTTGATAAAATCGCAGCTCACTTTAAAACAGACTTACTTATATGTGTCTGCCCCCAGTACGTGAGCACTTCTCCTTTCATTATAACTTGTCAGTTGGCATTCTTATTGTTTCTTGAAGTTCTTTCTTCTGTTCTTTGAAATGAAACTAAAACATATAAATTTGGAAGATCATCATTCATCAATGATATTCTGTATTCTAAGTTGTTATACATCCATAGAACATGTTAGTGCCTGTGCCACCATTATCTGACCTCTTTTTTCCCATGAAACTGCAACAAATTCTTAAAATTAAATTTTCCTCGAAGAGGCAACAATTTTTTAGAATTTAGTTCCTGAACTTGCTATGCATAGAACTTCTTGGTATAAGCCAGAAGTTAAAGCATCTACTTTTTGGAAATATGGAGTACTTTCTGCACACAACATTTTGAACTTTTTTTTTCTTCTTGCAAGTATAGTAACTTGCAAACAAAATTCAAGAGGTGATTTATTTGATGCAGCATTGAGATCATATGCACGTAACAGACGTTCCAATTATGATCTATTTGGTGGCGGTATACCTAAACCAGATGAGTTTAAGAAAGCCTGGGCAAAACAAATGGATGACGAAGAGAGCCGTCTTTGGACAGCAAGTGAGGATGAAAGTGACTCCGATAAAACTGATAGTCATAGCCGTCTCAAGAAAGAGATTAGGAAAGCTAAACAACGAGCAAAAGAGCAAGACAGTCCTATTGATGCAGATGATAGTGACGAACTGAGAAGTCTGTGGTCCGATAGTGATGAAGAGAAGACATTATGGACCGGTAGTGAAGGAGATGATGATGATGATATTCCAACTGAACCATATCCGAATGAAAAGAGTGATAGCTACATTGATAAACTGTTTGAATTTGAGGAAAAACCTCAATATAGAACGCTCTCTGAAGCCTTGAAATCTGAGCAGGAACCTGAAGAGTTATCTCCTGGAAAGCAAGCTAGAAAAATTGCAGTGGAAAATGCCCTTAAGAAATTGAAAAAAGGACCTGATGGGCGTTACATCAATGTTTGGGAGGTTATGAGCGATGTGGACATTCTGATTGGTGCTTTTGAGAACATCATTTCAGGGCCAGAGTACGCTGAGCTGAGACAGGGAGGACCTAAGCAATTGAATATGCAATTTTTCAAAGACATACAAGCTCGTATGAGAGATCCAAACTATAAGTTCTCTCCTGAAATGAAATTGAAACCAAAGAGCAAAGTGGTACCTAGAAAGAAATGGCAGAAAGCAGAGTCTAGGCGTAGGAAAGCACGGAAACGATAGCTTCATGGAGGTGCCATTTCTTTTAGCATCTAAATATTGTACCAATAGATTTATGTCTCAGGCGCAGATTCCATGCGTCTTTAGCTATTAGATCAGAGAAAATTCAGGTCTAGAAGAAGATGTGTCAGCAGTTGGTGGACTTGCTTACTGCTTTCTGTAAATTATTCATGATTGCTCTTATGTAGGCATTTTATTTAGATTACTTATTCTTGCTACTGAATGGGAACCTGAATTTCATAACTAACACTTTGAGATAGGTTAATTGCTCTACAGCTACCTCTCTATTTCACCCGGTAACTGGAGTTTCAACATTAATGCATGTATACTGCAATTGTCATTACGACGTTTGTCTCCAGCAGAGGTGGAATAAGTAATTTGTAAAATAAAGCATGTTACCTATCGACAGGTTAAATTACTAGGATAGTGTAAAAAAATTCTTTCACCGTAAATGTATATAAGTGATTCAAATGGAAAACGTACTTGTGACAAAAAAGGTAAAAGAAGACGACAATGTGAAACTTGAAATCTAAACTACATATAGAGGTGTAGAGACGGTAATCTCTCAAATATTGTAGCTATTCACGTTCCAGGGATGGCTGATGTTGGGTGGGAAGACACCATGTGTCTGATTGAGAATCCTCCCTGGGTGATAGGCGTAAATATCACTGTTGAAGTTGTCAATGTCATTGTCATACATTTTCTGCCTGTAAGAGTTCATCATTGTTGAAGGTGGATTACTGTAATGGCAAGCCTGCATGTCATTTATCTCACTGAATTGCCTTGGTTGATATCCATAAGCCCCCCGAGCAGTATGTAAGTTCCGCAGTCCTAGTTCTTTGCTTCCCAAATCAGCAAAACGGGAATTAATATCCTTGAGACCTTGGTTTGGAGCAAAACTAGGATTAGAGTTTCGAAGACCTTGGAAATCAACCATTGGATTTCTGCTACCAGCTTGTATACTTGGCAGATTTTCAAATGGGGAAGTTATTCCAAAATCTGCATTGTTAGTGATGTTTTCCTCCTGACCAAAATATGGATAATCCATGTTTCCTAGTGCATAAAGGTTTTGGTTTGTCTCACCTGTGAGGGAGTCAAATCGAACACTCTGGTCCACAAACTCTTTGTTGCCCCAATGATCGAAGCCTCGTTCAATAGGGGAAAACATAGGCTGCATCTTGGAGGTTCCAAGAGAATTGTATGAGCTGTGCATTTGGTTTTGATGCTTGATATTATTGAGCCAGTTAAGGAGTTCCGGATTCTGAGTCTTCTCATAGTCACACCAGTTTAGAGCTCCCTGGTTTTGGTGATTGTTGTTATCATTGAACCAGTTATAGAGTAGTTGTGTTTCCTGGTTTTCCAATGGATTCTCTGATAAAAGCTCTGCATGTTTCCTTGATTTGTTTAGTTTCTTGATCAGTGTTGCAGCGTCCACATTACCATATACTATGACCACTTGTTCTTCGACATCCATTTTCACTTGATAAACCCCTGAAACCAAATGTTTTAGCCGCAATGTAAATGATGTCTGTTTCTAAAATTCTAAAAATATGAACTTCCCCTGCCCTTTTTGTTGAAAACAAAGAAACGGGTTGATGCAGACATTGGTAAATGCAACTAGTTAATTAAATAATTGAAATCTGCACCTTTTATTTTCAAACGAACATTACAAATGAAGTATAAGGCAACTAGGAAACTAAATAACAAAATAATGAATAGAAAAGGTGGCGAACGATATTTACAGCTAATGCAAGAAATTCGAGAATCATTTACAAAATCATTATTTTTCTCTCGTGTTTTTCGGGTGGGCAGGTTAGACCGTTAGAGAAAGAAAGTGGTAGATGTTATAGGTGAGAAGTGAGAGTACCTTCAATTCTTGTAAGCAGTTTCTTCACCTTCCGCATGCATCCATGACAGTGGATCTGAACTTTAAGAACATAAGTCTGTAAACAGGAAGAAAAATATGAAAACAAACAAGTAGTTAAAGAAGGGAGAAGACAATGCTAAAGAGGAAATACTTAGAAAAAAGAAGAGGAGGAACTTATGAGAAGTGGAGTAATTAGTAAATGACCTGAATTCTCACATACTCAAATTCATGGGCAGTGGCAGACATTTTTCAGTGTTTAGTTTGTCCTCTTTTGTCAAATGAAGTTTGAACTACTTGTTCCTATTTTAAGCCTTCCTACTAACTTGTCTTGGAAGGATCATCCAACCAATGGCTAAAAATAAGCCACAGTTTGTACTAGTAGAGTGGCAGAGAAACGCAGGCACCAAATACATGACAAGAAACAAGAATATGGGGCACTATATAGCCAGCTAGCTAGTCCTTTCATCTTAAGTACAAAAACAGCAGACCCCCAAAAATGTCAGTGTCTGTAGTGATTTTGTGAGATAGCCCGGGGGTGTGTGGAGGGTGTAAGGAAAGGAGTCCGAAACCAAAATGGCAAGTTTTTGGACTCTAATTATGTTTCTACAGCTATAAAAAAAAAGTTATATTTGTACCTAAAACGCAGTATTATACTGCACTTTATGTTAACGAAATTTTAGCCGTTAACGTAAAACGCAGTATAATACTACGTTTTACTTAATAATTCGTTTTTTATGTAAAACGTAGTATTATACTACATTTTACTTCATTTTTGGGCCCACCAAGCGTTCTGCGGATAACTGACATAAATAATTCATTTTTTTAATGTAAAATGCAGTATTATACTGCGTTTTACTAAAATACTTCTTATTTGGGCCCACCAATAAGTGTTCTACGGATAACTGACATGACAATAATTCAAATACATAAAGCGTGGTATTATACTGCATTTTATATAAAAAAAAAATTGCANATAACTCTGTGAGGTATAGTTCACCTCCACAGTGTCATATTAAATTGCCGCTTACAATGGAGTATGATAAATTGGTATCGTTGTTATGTAAAAAAATGGGTGTGAGGAAACGTTCGGTGAACCTTAAAGTAACCGGTAGATTTCCGTATTCTGCGACTCCGTAGGGGTTTGCTTATTATTCTGAGTTTAACATCGAAGATGATGAAACTCTTAAAAAACATTGCGGATTCTGGATGAATACAGGGAATTTATTGTAATAAAATTGTCGGAAATGTACGTCAAGGTTGAAGACGTTCCCAATAATGAGGGTGTGCATAGTAGGGATAACCCCCAGTCATCGGGTGGTTATTCTAGAGCAGTTTTTGCCGGACAGATTCCCGATGAAAGAGCTTACATTGATTTAAACTTGTCACCACCGGCGAATGAGCAGCGAAAAAAATAATTTTTCGACTTTATATAATCCACAAGACGGCTGGTAAACTTCAGTTTTTCTACGCTTTAGCGATGTTTAGTTTATGTTTGAATTGGATTTGTATTAACACTCATATTTTTCATAGGGGATACCGTCCGGATATGAATTTTACAAGTTATGACCCCGCTCCTAGTTGGAATATGCGTAGTTCTGGCGTGTTGGACCACGGTGGTTCATCCGGGAGTCATCACCAACAAGAAAATGTCCATCATGGAACGTCAACACAGTACGACTTGTAAGTAAAATGATATAGCTATATATAATGTATTTATCTAGTTGAGTAGCTTATCATTTTGTTCTTTTTGTGCAGTGAAAACGAGCAACTTGATGTTCTTGACCTCACACAGTTGCCCATAGACGACGTATTGACTCGTGATTTGGCAGATGCGCAGAGTTAGGAAGATGATAGTGATTATGACAACAATGTCGATGAGTCTGGAGATGACACACCCTTCCTTGATGAGGGTGATGATGAGGAGGAAGTGAATATCGAACCTGAGCTGACGAGGGAGCATACTCTTCCACCTCCCGTTAGACCAAGAGTGTACGAGTCCCACGTGCCGTTTCATGAGCGGAATATTCCCTACCTTGATAATTTGCCAAGTATGTCGGACGTGGATGCCCACACAAGGGATGTTGATGAATTTCGGTCAGCAATGTGGGATGAGTCTAGACCAGCGGTGCTGGCAAAGGGCATGTATTTCCCCGATAAAGCTCGCCTAATCAGGGCTGTGAAAATCTACAACGTAAGAGAGTATCGTGAGATGACGGTAAGGGAATCAACTACGGAGGTATACAAGGCTGTATGCCATAGATACTTAATGGGTTGTCACTGGATGTTGCATGCCAGCAACAAGAAATCAGGGTTGTGGAAAGTGGGTAAATATATTAGCACCCACAGATGTGAAATAGATACATTCAATGAGAATCACTTTAACCTGGATGTAAACTTGATTTCTCTTGTCTTGATTCCATACTTGGAAGTGTCCATTAGGTTCAAGATTAAAGAGTGTATTACAGCCGTCCACCAGGAGTATGGGTGTACTATAACCAAAAGAAATGCATATCTCAGGCATAAACGTGCCTTTGAAATTATTTATGGTGACTGGGATAAGTCATTTATAGCTCTGCCCAGGTACATGGCCGCACTGCAACACTTTAACCCCGGGACTATTGTTGAATAGAGGCGTGAGCGGAGTCCGGACAGACCCGAATATATTTTCAACTATGTGTTCTGGTCAATTAAATCAGCAATTGATGGTTTTGTGCATTGTCGTCCTGTAATTTCCATAGACGGTACGCATGTTTATGAAAAGTATGATATTAAGCTTTTGATTGCAGTTGCAGTAGATGCCAACGAACAAATATTTCCACTAGTTTTTTCCATTTGTGCCAATGAAAGCGAAGAGACGTGGATACTTTTTTTGAACCACTTGAAGCAGCACGTTGTCAAACATCGTTCAGGTATTTGTCTAATATCTGATCAACATGGTGGTATTTTAAGCTCTGTACAATATTTGTTTGAATGGCAGGAACCCTATGCATACCACCGTTACTATGTGAGGATCCTGAAGGCCAATTTCCAGAAGAAATATCACAACAAGGCCTTGCATGATTTAATGTGGATGGCTACAACTGAGCACCAGCAGTGCAAATTCACGAGGCGCATGGAAATGATCCAGTAGTTAGATCCACGAGCCTATACTTGGCTGATGAGACATGAGCTTCACATGTGGACATTGCATGTTGATGGTGGCAGACGATGGGGATCCCTGACTACAAATGTGTCGGAGTCATTCAACGACTTGTTGAAGTCTTGTTTACCGTGAAAATGGTAACAATAATTAAATTTGTAAATGGGACTCTAAAAATACTTGATCTATTTTTATGCTAGTTGTTAGAGCAGTTGATGCTAAGAATGTGAAGTTTAACGATGAAACATAAGCTAAAACGGGTCAATAATCAAACCGATGGGCTTTCTGCCCAGGCTTCGGACTGGTCGATGAGGGGCCTCGGGGTCGATATCCGTCTCAAGCTCGAGCTATCGGGGTAACCGAGAGAGGGATAACACTTAGAATATAATTAAAGAAGGCTCTTTATGGCCAATATCAAGAAATAAGTGAAGAACAAGTATGAAAGCAATAAATGTTGAGAGTGGCCTCGAGCGAGTGAGAGCGAGAGAGTTAGAGAGAAGAAAGAGAGAGAGATATTATTGATCTTGTGGAGAATAGTTGGAGCAACATCAGCCCCTTACAAGGTGGTGCGGATTCCCTTTATATAGGAGAGGGAATACAATATAATACCGGATGCATTAAATGTAAAGGCATGGAGATGGGATGGCTAGATGCGATACTAGACTCTGCTGATGCTAGTTGCTCGTCTCGGGAGTTCCCCACCCTCAGAATCTTTGTTGGGTCGTGGGCGAACCTCGGGGGAGGGATCTTGATCGTAGCCCTGCAACCTCGAGACACTGATATGACTCCCCGAACGCACCTCAGTGGCGAGAAATTGATCCCTCTGATTTTACCGTATATAGATAGTCTCCGCGTTTCCTAGAATAAAGTAATAGGAAATGATTTTGAACCGTCGTCTCGAGGTCATCATTGTCGTGATGTCAACCATTTAAGAGCATTAAATGCCATGTTCCAGAGAACTGTGCAAGGCCGCCGTCATATGCAATAATCGAGAAACCCACGAACTGCCATTGGCTCATCCTTTCCGCTCCCCAAGTGGTTCCTATAAATACATTAGTTTCTTGAAACTTCACACTTTCACCCCATTTCCAAGCTCACGATCAGAATCTTTTGTATTTGACACTCTTTCATCTTTTCATAGAAGAATTTTTACCATTGTCATTGCTAGGACTTCTAGGACGATTCCCCAGTGGGACAACGCTGCATCATCATCCCGATCTCCTAAGGAAGAAACCAGAGCGATTCCCTCTTTGGAACAGTGTGCCCCATATGATCTAGATATGTCAGAGGATTTTAGCGTCGATGCCACTTCATCTACACCCGGGCCGGTGCGAGCATGTGTCCCGATATATTAGCATCGTGACCGATATTGGCAAGGTAAGGAAGGACTGCCGATGGAGCGAGGCAATGGGGGTGGAGATTCTCGGTCCCAATGATAATATAACAGACCATAAGGCTGGCTTCCTTCACGTATACACCTACCCATTCACCCTGGGGTCCCGATAATTCTACCGAGTTCTCTCCCCTGGAGATAGACCCGGTTATCCTTGACTTATGTGATCGATACCAAGTGACGCTTGGTCAGATCTACCCTTCTTTTTGGAGGATAGTGTTGATGCTTCGTCATTTCACCGAAGGGGTTGAAGGTGAGATCTTTAACCTCAATCATCTGATCAGGATGTACAGCCCTCATTTATCGAGGTTTAATCAGGCTTCACCATCGGTCCAAAAAATCTTTTTTCTCGAGCGTCGACGAGGGAAAGGATCGAGGATAGATGAGTAGCTTTATCTGGGTAAAGACTTCGGACATCATCCCGGCCCAGAGGATGCCCTTTCCGGAGAGGTGGAATACCCGACGTAAGCAATTTTTCCCTTAGCCGCTTTTCAACTATTCTTCCTTTCAAAATAATGATCTCTTTGTGCTTCCTGCAGCCGCTGCTTGGTACTCGAGGGCGGTTCCAGATCTGTCGGGATAGATCGGGCGGTTGGACGAGAAGTTCCCATATTGCATTCGGTCTTGGACCAGCCTGGCAAAGAAGCGTTGGGTGGCTAAGAATCATGGTGAGGTTCTTTTACCATCTTTGCCTTGTACTTTGTGTTTCTTTCTTAGCCCTTAGTGAAAGCGCCTTGCGGTTACTGTGCTGGTGCAGGTCTTGGCGAGA